CAGGTGTTTACCATTTGTCAATTAATCCTCTCCCGGCGTTAAGATATAACTTATCTTATAGTTAACTGAAAGAGCCTCCTTTTGTTCATACCTTACAGCGGACAATGTATGCGAAACTTCAAAAAAAGATTACGACCAAAAAGGCGGTAATGCCTCTCTTTCTTGGGGCGAAAAGTTCACGGTCATTCGTCAGATGCTATCCGAAATGATACCAATTTTCTTCACATTCTTCTCACAATATTTAGCAATTCAAGCCGTCGTCACGACCCTTGCATTTCCCAGCTCCCCTTTCAAACCAAGTGATCACTATGAGTATTAAATTCTTGTATTCACGGTGGTTGAGGTGGTGGGGAGGTCGTATCTAGCAGTGCTGTCCTGTATCAAAGAAGACTGGGAAGACAAAGCTAAATTTCCTTTCCCTGGAATTCTGTGTCTGATTCAAATCATGGATCTATTGTTTTTGGTACTGGCGGCCTGGTACCGTTTTCTATCGAGTGTCTGGACCATTTTATTCCCTTTGTTTTCCTTCAGGTTTAGTTCTTGGTGCTTTTTATGTCAACATCGTGACATTTTTCAGACATGTTTCCAGGAAAGGTACAAGGAGTTTGCTATGGGATACATCATTGTAGCCTTACATGGAGGAGTACTGACCGCTGCCATGTTGGGCTTGTACGTTGAGCCCTTGTTACGTGAACACTCCATGACCCTCGTGGATAACACAGACTGCTGCTTTACAAGATCGCAGTCTTAATGTCTTTTTACTTCGTGGTGTTTAGAAATATGAAACTGACATCTCCATGAGGTAGATTTTCGCTTGTGCTCACAGACTTGTTTAACAAAATTAAACCTTTCCCTTAGCTTAGATTGATATTGTCTTACTAGTAGCAAGTAGCACCTTAATTTACTGAGTTGATAAAGTGAATGGGCTACCACAAAGAGTTTGTAAAGCTGATGTTTCGAGCGTTAGACCGTTAGTGGATAGAGGATTCGTAATTGTGGGTTGTGTGTGGTTTGTGTACAGAAAAATGGAGCTACGATATAGGTGGGAACATAGCAACGTAAGAAACGGAAGAATAGATTAGTTGAATGAAAAGATTAACATGTCTAGTGACTGGTTTCAGATGCGTTGTTGTCATCCCTCTCTACGTGTCATTTTAGATGAAAGAATAACATTTAAGCCCT